GTCTGATGGTGACCTCTTTTGATTTCAGGAGCTGCTGCAGAGGAAAGGAATAATGATGCCTGGAAATTCATGACAAGAAGCACGTGGGGGCGCAGGGAAATGACAGTCGTGTCTTGTTAGTTGTTGCCATGTTTTGGTTCCACATCTTAGCTTTAAGTAACGGTAATAAGAAAATTTGGCAGCTCTGTACCTCTTTTTTTTTTCCTTTTTTATTAAATATGTTTTCATCATAGTTGTTTGTCATTATTGTTTCTGGTTTTTTGTAGTTATTCTTTTCAAGTTTGTGGTTTTAGTCTTACTTTTTTTTTCTTCACCTAGGCACTTGGGCTGTTCTCCCTGTCTTTTGAATGGGGCATTTGGTTATCTGTACCTGCTGTCTTTGCTTGCTGAATGACTTTTCTCAACTCTTCTCCCTTTGGGTTTTTTCAGTGTTGTTTATGAAGTGCTGGGTTTTTTCTCTTCTTTATTTGCTAAAGTGGGTGTGCTCATGGGTGGATACAGGTTTCTGAGTCCTTGTGATTTGTATCTGTGTTATGTCTGCTGCTTTTCTTTTTTTTTTTTTTCCTCTCATTCCTTTTTGGTTTTTTATTGTTTTGCACCTTCTGAGAGGATTAACTTCATCTGTTGTTTGTTTTCTGGTATTTTTTTTTTATTTAACCTAGCCGATAACTTATTTTATTAAGATCTGGGTAGGGGGGAAGGAAAAAAAGAAATTAAGTTCAGCTTATGGTTTGAGACATCTGTGTTCTGATGTAGAGAAAAGAAAGTGGGAAATAAAAGGTTAAATAGTTAATATATGTATGAGAAGTGCTGTGCGTGCAATTGTTCATACAGAGCGTGTGCCAGCCTGCCTACTGCACTGCCTTTATTATTTTTCCAGACTTTCTGTTTGATGTCATGCTGTTGAATAAGTTTCTCTTTGTCCAGTTTAGGACTCTCCTCGGCTGTAGGTGAAGCTGTGACAACTAAAACTTCCTTGTCTCTATTCCTTAGCTTCAGCTAAAAATTTCAGTGTGTTATCCACTTACTTTAATTTTAGGAGTAAAAAAAAAAATGTGGCATCTTAGGTTTTGCTCTGAAAAGCAACTGTCTCAGCTGGAATTAGAATCATAGAATCACCAAGGTTGGAAAAGACCTAAGAGATCATCCAGTCCAACCATTCACCTATTCCCAATAGCTCCCACTAAACCCTGTCCCTCAACACAACATCCAGCCTTTCCTTGAACACCCCCAGGGTCGGTGATTCCACCACCTCTCTGGGCAGTCCATTCCAGTGCCTGACCACCCTTTCTGAAAAGTAATACTTCCTCATGTCCAGCCTGAATCTCCCCTGCCGTAGCTTGAAACCGTTCCCCCTGGTCTTATCACTAATGACACGAGAGAAGAGGCCGACCCCCAACTCACTACAACCTCCATTCAGGAAGTTATAGAGAGCAATGAGGTCTCCCCTAAGCCTCCTCTTCTCCAGGCTGAACGTTCCCAGCTCCTTCAGCCTCTCCTCATATGGCCTGTGTTCCAGACCCCTCACCAGCTTTGTTGCCCTCCTTTGAACACATTCCAGGGCCTCAATATCTTTCTTGCAGTGAGGGGCCCAAAACTGGACACAGTACTCGAGGTGCGGCCTCGCTAGTGCTGAATATAGGGGAACAATCACTTCTCTGCTCCGGTTTGCAACGCTGTTTTTGATGCAAGCCAGGATGCCATTGGCCTTCTTGGCCACCTGGGCACACTGTCGGCTCATGTTCAGCCGAGCATCAATCAATACCCCCAGGTCCTTTTCCTCTACGCAGTCCTCCAGCCACACCGCCCCAAGCCTGTAGTGTCGCCTGGGGTTGTTGTAGCCAAAGTGCAGCACCCGGCATTTGGCCTTGTTGAAACTCATCCCATTAGGGTGCTCTACCTCTTTTTTCATACCATTGGTGTCTTGCTCATGTCCCTATCTTTTTTTATCCATTCTTAGTATTTAGTTTTACCTTTGATTCCCTCAGTTTAATTTCCACTTATGTAAATTGTCCTTTAAATTCATTAATTTGTGATGTTGAGGTCAAGCTGTCCTCATTGTCTTTCAGTATTGGAAGAACGTTTCGCAACACTTGGTTACTGCATAATGTAGTTAGTTCTGGTTCCAGCTGAAGGTAGTGTTCTTTAACCTGGGTGGTTGTTAATGTAACACATTTAACAAGGTATATAACAACTGTTGTGATTGTGGCCTACAGTATTGCTTAGCTACTGCCGTCATGCAGTTCAAGTTACTGCCTGTTCTCACCCAGCATTGGATCTTGAGCTATGCTATGGCCTTCTCCATCATTTTGTGTCACCTAAATCATGCACCTTGGTCCCTGACCTTTGACTCAGGTTTGCTTAGGTTGTTTCAGATATGAGTCCCGTAGTCTGACTCAAATCTTTCTGGGGTACTGCACTGGAGCAAGACTTGCTTTTCAATGCCCAGGATAGTATTTTGGGTGGTGGCCATTGTCCTCCATACCAAAGAGACTTTATCCACTTGTTTTGTTGAACTAGAGCAGGTGTTTCACATTTGTAGATTACCTGTGCATTAGTGTTCCACCACTCGACCCATCTAATCCTACTCCTCTATGCTAAACTGCAACAGCTACAGCTTGACCAGCGTCAAGGCATTGGAAACTTAGCAGCACACAAATGGTAAGAGAACATATACAGATATGTATTGCAATTTGTACTTACAGGTAGTTGGCAAAGGTTTTATAAACTGTTCTTAGAAATATTCAAGGATTTCACGTTTTAAACCAATGATGTTAGCACCCAGACCTTTGGTTCAAGCATTGATGTAAACCACACAGAAACAGGGAGGCTGTAACGTGTTTGTTTTGCACAGCCCCTACGCAACTTCAGTGTGGAAATTACCAGTGTGCCACAATATGCAATTTCTGCTGAAGCATTGGGGTGTAATTTATGATGTTATTGTGAATGTGAAAAACTGTATTTCTGACACCTATGTTGATTATGCCACAGACATTGAACTTTTACAAGTGGTTTCGCTCTCTGAGACATGGAGCCTTATTCTTCCCAGAACCCAACCCAACATAAAGCAGCTGCTTCTCTGCAGTGGAAGTTCTATGTATCCAGCTTAAGACAGGTCCAGTAATGTAAGATGCTCTGGAATCAGCTTTCTAGCATGAACATTCCTCACTCCGCAATGCCGGGAATTAATTTAGCACGTCTGCAATGAAACGCATCTCACAAAGACCACTACTGATGGAGCTCTGTTGTCACTACAGCGCCAAATTTCTTTCATTTGTGCTCAAATCAATTTTGTTAGTTTAGTCAGGATTCATTTTCTTCAATGCTTGGGGCCTTCTTGAAGTGAGATGCATTAAGTTCGTCTTGATTTGTCAGTTTGACTTGTGTGTAAACAGAACTCCTATGTGTCGTTCCTTATGGTGGCATTCTCTGTCCTTGTCCCTCTGGGAGCCATCTTCCTCCTCAGCCCATGTGTTGTGAAGTCAAGTTAAAGCTTAACACAGCCCAACTGTGGAACTGCAAATCCCAAACATGCACGGAAACATAGGTATCTATTTTGCAGAACAAGTTATACAAGCACTTCCTGAGGAAGGTTTGTTTCTGTTGCCAATTGGTGCACAAACTGTATGGCTGTTTGCTGTTGTAGCGTCTTGTAATGAAGGTTACACTTGCGTTGGTTGGTCCTGCTTTCCCTGGTCATGCCACGTCTGGGGAGGGGCTAGCTGAATGTCTGTAAGAATTCACTTTCCCTATTTGCCTTCCTCGATTTAAGCCCCGGTATTCACCTTAATAGCCCATTTCTCAGCATGCCATAGGAGGTCAGCATTTTTTCCTCTGAGCATTAGAATATAAATCCCAAGTGTTAGTGCACAGTTCCCTACGCTAAGATAAGGTCCTTGACAAGGTTCCCACGTTTCTTGTCAGACACAGCCTGTAACGATGGCCGATCATCGTACTTGGGCAGCGCCTCTTCACAGCTTGGGAAAATTTCATCCCTCCTCTGTTAATCTTGCACAGCAGCATGCACTTGCCAGGGATCCCTGCCTTATACCAGCGCAGACATTAGAAAGCTCAGGTGGAAATGTCAAAGTTGTTTAAAATCCTATTTTGTCATGTATTCTGTGTTTTATCATCCTGCCACAGTAACATGCCTGAGGTTTCTCAGCGATTTTCTTCTCCATTTTTTTCAATTGTAAATACATTCTGTAGACATTCCTAGACTGAAATGACATTACTGAGGCGATGTCTCTGCTACAAACCTCAGAGCAAAACATGGCCTGGTAGAGTGTCATGCTGAGCCACAAAAGGCTTTGCTTTTCCAAGGCAATGTGACAACTATTCAGTCAATATTTGCTTCATTTCTATCTGTTTACTTCAATATGTATGAAGACTTCCCACAACATCCAAATCCACTGTCTTTTCTCCACATTGATGATCTAAAGTCTATAGAGCACGTATATGTCCTGTGGGGCTACACTACACTATGGGACTACACTAAAAGCCTTCCTTCCCCACAGATAGAGTAGAACATGCACAGACAAGGGTGGGTGCCACATCCCTGGAGGTGTGCAAGGTCATGGTGGGGAGGGCCCTCGGCAGCCTGATCTGGTGGGGGGCAGTGAGCCCACGGCCAAGGATGGGGATGTGAGGTCCCTTCCAACCTCTGGTTCTATGAAAAGGTTAGTCCTGCAGCTTTGCATCTTACTGTGCCAGTGCCAAAGCTGGGAGGAGCACCCTTGGGATATCCTCCATCCTGTTTTGCAGGCAGGGCTGGAAAGATGGAGAGCTGCCGGTACATCATCCAGGCAAGGAAAGTGAAGGGAAAAGTGACTGCCCAACTTGAAGGGCAGATGCAGCATTGATGGGTAGAGACTGACTGGAGGCACTGAGCCAGTTTTAACCTATATGTCTGTTGGAGACCAAGTAGTTTTACTGGTTATATATGTTACATTTTGGAACACTACAAATTCCCTGTGTACTGTATCAGAAAGATCCCAAGGGTTTAGACTACCATGAGAAAATGGTAAAATAGCAATGTGTAGAGACT